TGATGTGACTGATGGTGTCCTGTACAGCTTTATCTGACAGCAGGGTGACAGTACAGCCACCAAACCCTTCACCGGTCATCCTGGACCCGCACACATGTGTACAATAACACCGGTACAGTAACACTGGTACTGTAACACTAACCTTTATGTGTCTGATGGTGTCCTGTACAGCTGTAGCTGTAGCTGACAGCAGGGTGACAGTACAGCCACCAAACCCTCCACCAGTTATCCTGGACCCAAACGCAGTAACACTATAGTACAGTAACACTAACCTTGATGTGACTGATGGTGTCCTGTACAGCTGTAGCTGACAGCAGGGTGACAGTACAGCCTCCAAACCCTCCATCGGTCATCCTGGACCCAAAGGCAGTAACACTGGTACAGCAACACTAACCTTGATGTGACTGATGGTGTCCTGTACAGCTGTAGCTGACAGCAGGGTGACAGGACAGCCACCAAACCCTCCACCAGTTATCCTGGACCCAAACGCAGTAACACTGGTACAGTAACACTAACCTTGATGTGACTGATGGTGTCCTGTACAGCTTTAGCTGACAGCAGGGTGACAGTACAGCCACCAAACCCTCCACCAGTTATCCTGGACCCAAACGCAGTAACACTGGTACAGTAACACTAACCTTGATGTGACTGATGGTGTCCTGTACAGCTGTAGCTGACAGCAGGGTGACAGTACAGCCACCAAACCCTCCCCCAGTCATCCTGGACCCGTACACACCGGTACACTCCATGGCTGCTGACACCAGGGTGTCCAACTCTGCACAGCTTACCTCATAGTCATCCCTGCAGTAAACATCAAATGCCACTGTTACCAGATATAGAAGAAAATTCCATGATGGTATAAAGTGTTCTAGCAAGCTGTGATCTGAATTTTTTTCAAATCTTGACCATCTGAAAAACTTTTTCCTGCATTTTGAGGCACAAATTTTGCAGTAGTCTACCTTAATTTCTCTCAGTAAGCAACGATGCACCAAATATATATTATTATATACACCATTTCAGCTGAGGAAATGTTAGTAAAAGATCATTTTTCTTTATTATGAGTTAAAATTTTAATCTTTGTTCCAACACAACAGCACGGAGTGTCTCACCATGAATTTTCAGTCACCCTTGTCCATTATATAACAGTTTATCAGATGTCAAATCAATGCACTATGCTGACTTTCTGTAGAAGCTCAACTGGATGAACTAAAAATTCATGGGAAGTGTTTCTGTTTTCAAAGAAAATAAATACAATATTTTACAAATTAGATTCTACAAAGTTACAGATTAAGTTCCATTTGAATCAATCTTTTATAGTCACTGAGTCTTTGCTCACCGAAGTGAGTTGTGACTTTCCACCATCAGTTTTCCAAACTTGGCGTAATCTCGAGCTCGGAGGGCGTCGGCAGCCTCGGTAGTGCGGCGGATCTCTCCGATAACATGGCGGGCACGACGAAAGACCACAGGTTCCAGCTTGGACTCTTGAGCTGAGAAAAAAAAAACAAATTTGATGTATATTAATAAATTTTGCATGACTGTATATAAAACTATTTGCCTGTGGTGTAAGTGCTGTTGGAAAATTATGATTTTAGTCTACTTATCAGAGTAATAATGTTTGATTACTTACTACTAGTATTCGCCATTGAACGGGTCATTGTAAATGACCAATTTTTCCCTCTTTATATTATAATAGGTGGTTAAATAATATGTAGCAAGTCACCTATGACCATCAAATAAAACCACTGAGGAGTTAATGGTTTTGAGGTTTATCGGTCACTGGTCAGAAGTTTTGTCACTGTGAAGACCATTTAAGGAAAAAACAGGGCATCAAATTTATGAAAATAGCCTGGTAGGAGCAGTAGGCATAGCCTCCGTATCGTAGCAGGCTTATAGAACTGGGGGTTTGGTGGTCTTCGGCTGTTTTCTGATTAGCCCAGTTCTAACGGGGGGAATTCAACCAGGCCGGCTATGTTGTCTATATGCAATCAGAAAATAGCACATAAAAGCTCCCAAAGACCCTGAAGACCCCCAAACCCCCCCCAGTTTTTGGCATGCTATGGAGGCTATCAAGGCTTAGTGGTGCAATTCTAGTAAATTAAATGAAGCAAAACTGATTAAAAGCTATTGAATGTTATAAGAGAACTGCAAGACTTAGTGCTTATCTTACAAATACCACATTGCTATAGAACCAATCACATATAACACATCTAAAGTGTTAGGCCCGATTTAGACTAGAAACGCTTAAGGGGTTTTGGCCAGGGAAACGTTTCGGAATGGTTAACCGTTCCCGGTCTAAAGAGGAAAAAACGGTTTGTTATGGGTTTTCGCGGACCGTTTCTGAAAACCACCTCCATCGTGGTTTTCGACCGTTTCAGAACCCTTCAGCGGGGGCCGAAACGCGTTTTGCTAGGTCTAAAGACAAAGGGTTTCTTGAAACGGTAAACCAGGTCACGTGTCATATGCTAATCACATGCTAATAAGCCCGCGGGTGTCCATTTTCTGGTAGATTCGCGCCATATTCGATTGTGCCCATTTTCGCCATTCTATATCATGTATTTCTCGAATTTTCGTCATCCTTCCTTTACGTCTGGGGGGATGGCAGAAGGCCAGGGGAGGGTCTGGACCCAAGAAGAGACCCGCTGCTTGATCAGCTTGTGGGCCGATCAAACTATACAATCCCGCTTTGAGACCTCGCGTAATAGGGAGGGCATACAGATGCTTGTGGACGGGCTGGTGGCTGAGGGGTATTTATGCACCCCAAAGCAGGTTCGGGCGAAGTTCAAGGCCCTGAAACACATTAGTATTGTAAGGCCAATGAGGCAAACCGTAGAAGCGGCTTGGGGAGGTCATCATAGGTCACTGTGGGTCAGAAACATCCTGCGCCACGGGCGGCCCGAAACGCTTTCTCCTCTGTGTCTAAAGACGAACCGTTTTCCGTGGCGAAACGTTTCGTACCGTTTCGAAACGGTATACCGTTTCTAGTCTAAATCGGGTCTTAGTCAAACTTTGAAAAAAAAAAAAACTTTGACAAATATAAAAATGCTCCCCTCCTCCCCCACCATTCCCTACCACAAATAAAATTTACTACTAAAATCAAAGAACCCACATATTATAGAAGAAGAGGGTAAATTCGTCTTCCATTGCCTAAAAAAAAGAAGTCAAACCCAGTAAAACTAGTACCATGTATGTTGTAGAATATAGTATAATGTTAGACGTAGATATAGTCTCACATACCACTGTATTTTCTTTCTATGTTGTTTGTAACTGCAATTAGCCCTCGGGCATGTATTTGCAATAAACTTTCTTTAGGCCACACCAATTTAATCTCTTGGTAAACGGATTCGCCCGCTTCATTTTTTTCTGATTGGCAAATAAAAATAAAAAATTCAGAATCAACTGCATAATGCTCATATTTTGCCCTGAACAGATGAAAACAGTCCTTTTCTTTCTAGTTGTTACAGTTATTCCATTTTTCAATGCAATGGTATAATTAAAAGTTAAAAATTCATTGTTTAAATTTTGAACCAGCCTGGTATGTTGACTTCATGGCTCCTATCATACCATTTTGGGCCATGATAGGATGCCTAGGCCTGTTTTTATTTTTTTTTCGCCCGCCCGCTCCATTATTTTTCTAGAAAAATCCGTTAACCAAGAAATTAAATTGGTGTGGCCTTATCCAATAAAAGTAGAAACCTTCCAGATCTTCCATGGAGGCCTCTCTGAGACTGTTCTTGGCGAGGATGCCGGCTGCCTGCTCACACTGCCGTCTCCTGGTGGGGTACTCACTCCCCGTCAGCTCATGTCGCACGTTAGAGTTGGTTACCATGACAACCACATCAGGATTGTCCAGGGGAACCAGCTCAGCAGCCATGGACCTGGGTGTGCAGTCAATATTTAGCCTCTGTAGCAGACTTATAGAACTGGGGGTTTGGTGGTCTTCGGCTGTTTTCTGATTAGCCCAGTTTTTTTTGTGGTCTAAGAATGGGCTGTTTTCTGATTAGCCCAGTTCTAAACAGGGTACTACAACCAGGCCGGCTATGTTGTCTATATGCAATCAGAAAATAGCACATAAAAGCTCCCAAAGACCATGAAGACCCCAAAACCCACAGTTTTTGGCATGCTTTGGAGGCTACAAATATTAGTGAGGGCTTAAAATTAAAACTGTGTCCCAATGGCCACTGACCACTAAAATCTAGGCTGAGACACCTAAAAAGATACTTTGGGACATTTTTGGGACAACAGAACAATAATAAATCATTATTACCAACATCAGAATGTGAGCCCCTTTTTTGTTTATCGGGCACATGTCCCGGCTTTTGGCTCCTTAAAAGCCCCCCGCCTATTAGTGACTGTTACAATGTACATGTACTTACTGTATACTATTAGAAACTACATGTATTTGCCAGAGGCCACAAGGCTCTTGGCATTTTACTGAGTATCATGTTTTTTTTTTACTTTGGCTGTGTCTGTATTGGATACAATATGAAAAAATACAAGCAGATGTCAGGATAGAAAGACTAGCTGAATAAAAAAAGAAGTAACACTGCACGTAACCATTTATTACGTATTGATAATTATTACAAAATGCCTCTCTTCTATCCTGAGACATGTGCATTGTCTGAATTTTCAGTTTAAGTCTTGCCACCTCTCCTAAATTTACTGTTGAAAGTGTTGCCAAGATACCCCTATGCAGTCACTCTTTTAAACTAACCTGCAGTCCAGTAGAAGTGCATGTCCCTCCTTGCCCATGACAGAGATGAACTGGTCCATGATTCCACAGGGCATGCCTGGGAACTCATGTTCAGCCTTCTGACAGGCCAGAGCCTTCTCCTTCAGACTTACAGGGGAGTGCTATAACAAAAAGAACAAAAAAAACTTGTTATAAATCAGCTCTCAGAATTCAGGACCTTCTCCTTCAGACTTACAGGCGAGTGCTGTAACAAAACAAAACAAAAAAAAACTTCTTATCAAGTCAGCACTGAGAATTCTGCAAGGTATTATAATATATTACTGTCATACAGTTTGTATATAAAACCTCAGTCAAATTGAGATATAAACTCATATTCAAACAAATTCCTGAACTCCTCTTGGACTCATCGGATTTTCATTGTGATGAAGAGTCCTGAGCTCCTAGAGCTGCTATTGGCAAGTTTGTTTTTCTATATATATATATATAGTGATGAAAAATTACTGAGCTTCTGTTGGTAGTTCTCAGAGAATGGGAATGATTGTCTTCAGTTAAAAGCTGCATGGCAACATTAGATCTGGAGCAGGAGGCAAATCAGCCTGACAGACTCACAGAGTGAGAGATTACAAAACATAGGCTACCATGTTTTAAAACTCAGTAAGTTGAAGAAGATGAAAATTAAGCCTAGGAAAATCAATCTTTTGTTTTCGAATTCAGTTGTGAAAAAAAGAGTAGGGTCAGCAGGTGGGGATTTTCTTCTTAATGAAGACTTTTTTTTTGGATTTCAGCTACAATGATCCAGCAAATAAAGTTTAACATAACTTCAAGAAAATGTCTTAATTGCTTTTGAAAATGCGTTAAATGATGTTTCAGAGAGAAATTTAGATAATTTGAAATTCAGATGCCACATTGAAAATTTTATGGCCTTACCAGTGGTCAATAAAAAAAGGCTAGGGTCAGCAGGTTTTTTTTTTCTAGGGTTGGTTGGAAAACCAAAAACAGTCAACATTTTTTAAAGACCATAGGTCAGATCTCACCTGTGGGTTGAGCTGTTCCAGGAATGTGTACGTTGCCACTTCCAGGGAGGCAGAACTGGACAGACCCCCTCCCAGGGGCACAGAGGAGGCCAGCACAGCGTCAAACAAACTAACTTCACCTGGTAATAAAACATTAGTCTGACTCTGAGTCTTTGGTCAAATACATCAAATTCATACAATTCCCAACCCCCATCACAAATATTGAAGAAGCAGTCTGATGTATAGAATCTGGCCTTGTAATGATGTATATATGATGTATAGACACTGTGTGTTAGAATTTTTACTACTGTTAGTTTATGTTTGATATATTCTCTGTGTGTGGTATGTGTGTACATGTCAGAAATGACCACAGGAAGAATAGCTATGTAGTTTGTATGCTAAATGCAGAATAATAAATTCCTGATAAAGGAATAAGGAATTATGAACCCCATAACAGTGATGAACCGAGATGAAAGGGGTACAAACTCAGTTACAGCAAAATGTTAAACTTTATTCCAACACAAGGACGGACAGAGATCAAAGTTTCAATGACCATAATAATTAATGTCACCTTCATCAGGATAATCAATTATAAACCAATCCCTTCCAGTTCCAAATGCACCATGAGAGCTTCAGTTACAGACACATGACCTTATTCTGGGTTCTTTCTTACATGCATGGGGTGTGGCTCTCCCCAAACACGGGACTTCTATTTAACATCCAATCTGAGGGATCTCCCCTACTGAAGACTGTAACTCATTTTCACCTGAGTCAAGTAAGAAACGTTACGTTATTAGTAAGTGCCTTTCCTAAAGTCAGGATTCAAACATGTGACCTCTTGGTTCTGAGCCAAACACTCTGTACACAACCCCACTGCACTATAAAACGTTACTAGAATTTTCAGTCAAAGATATTCTTGAAGATTAATTACCCTTGAAGTTGGCCACGACTCCCTTGACGTAGTTTGCCCAGGCAGGTTTCCCTGGTTGCAGAGGGTGGTCAGTACTGGGGACGGGGAACTCCACCTGTTTGGGTTCATCTGCATCCTGGGCCGTGGTGAGAACACGGCAAACACCTGTGTCTGTCCTCCTCCCAACAACGACTGTCACCATGGGCAGGGCCTGTCAATCATCAACAACAACTGTCACCATGGGCAGGGCCTGTCAATCATCAACAACAACAGTCACCATGGACAGGGCCTGTCAGTCATTAACAACACCTGTCACCATGGGCAGGGCCTGTCAGTCATAAACAACAACTGTCACCATGGGCAGGGCCTGTCAATCATAAAAAAATATCATCATCAGAAGGCCCTAGTCAATCAATTACACACAAATCACCATGGCGATGACCTGTCAATCATAGACAACTGTTACCATGGAAACAGCCTGTCAATCACAGATGTCAGCTGTCAGCACAGGTGTACAGTCACACAAACACGTACACAGACACACTTGCACACATGAATACACACAAACATGCATACACACACAAACGCACCCACATACATCACACACACAAGTACAACCACACACACATGTACACACATACAATGTACATGTATTGTACAATTGCTAATTATTAACTACATTGTGCATCTAAATCAAGATAAACTACAATAACATTCAAAAGGAATGTAGTGCAAACGTGCCTGCCTGACGTTGAACACCATATATCTGGCTAATCTATAACCATTAACGTTACACACCCCTTTATGAGTTTTCAAAGTACAACATGCACATTCCACACTGCCCTGGTAACGTTGTATCATTAGAATTACAATTGTGTGAGGACACAAATTATGTATCAGATTCTAAGATTTTTTCACAAAATTTGCAACCTACAATTAAGCAGTCCACTTAGAAGAATAAGTTTACAAAAGTTTTACCAGAACTCCATGGAAATGTGAATTGATCTTCATGTATATATATAGAACTCTGTGAATACTAGTACTAGTATAATTTTTTTTTTTAATCCAGAACCTTGCTCAGGTACGGTTCTGGATACATGTATCCAGAATCTATCCAGAATCGTGCCTGGGGCAAATCTACGTTCTTGGATACGCAGAGACAATCCAGAACTAAGTATGCCCGAGCCTAACCCTAACACTTAACCCATATATTTCAAAGCATAGAACTACAGTGTATTGCTAGTAGGCACGGTTCTGGATCCAAATACATCGCAGTGCAATACCATAGGAAAGACGAAGCCCTCGTTGTAGTCTGTGTGCTCTCCGATCAAATTGACCCTTCCGGGACCGCATACTGCAACCGTCGGCTTCTCTCCGTACTGGTCACGGAACGTGGACACGGCTCTGGCCACCAGTTCGGCCGCGGACTCTACTTTGGTCACCATGTTGGCTCGTGAAAACAGCTGATCGCAGGAAGGGGGCGTGGTCAATCCGCAAGGCATCACGGGATGTGGCGGGTGATTTGAAACACAGAAAGGACTGTAACCAGGATTGTGACGTTACGAACAACGTGTTCCCTGTTAAAAATAACACAAACACTTCATTCTCTATTTGTTGTCAGATTCGACCCATAAGAAATTAATTAATGTTGAGCATAAAATACCCCCCAAGCCTCAAAAACACACGGAAAAACTAGATGTTTAACGTCAATAGGATACCTTCCTGTGATATGCAAATGATCCCATGCGCTATGCATTCTAGGAAACTCGTGAATAATGACTAGAGGTCAAAAGATCGCATCCGGGTCGTTATGATTTTACGAGGATTACTCGATGATAATGTCATTGTTTAGGTTAGATACCCTGCCGCGATAGGATGTGGTTTCCTGTATGTGCATATACACAGACTAATCATATTGATACGAATATTGATAACTTTTTAATATTATGATCATATTATCATATAGCCGGGTGACGTTGACCAATCAGAAGGCTCCATTCTACATTCCTTATAACGCCGTAATGTCACAAATAGAGTCAAAACCGGGTATTTATTTATCCCATTCCATACAATAAACAACCCAATAATCACCCGCATATGACCTTGGGTGACCCATATAGAACACGATTCTCTTCTAAAAAATCCAAAAATAACTTGAGTTGTGTTCCAAGGACCTCGGGTGGCTCCCATAAGAACTTTTCAGATTTAATTCCTTCACGTATAATGACTTCTCCACAGAATTGCAGGGCACAAACTTTGTATTGTTTGCCTGTAGTGTATTTGTTATCTATCAATTGAAACACAAAGAATCGCTGACGAAACCTGCTCATTACAATATTCAAGTAGGTCATTATGATAGTCAAATGGGGTGTTGCTGGGGCGAAAAGTGACCAGGCATTAGCATACTGGAAGTACAGAGCACGACTGCACAACGACTCGAGAGCCACACCAATCAACACCGCAACACAACACCACAAACCAAGGCACAAACGTAAGTTGTTGTTTTTTTAATGCGTTTCAACTTCATTCCCGAAATGGTCTATGGATACACTATTTATGACAGTACACTCTCTACAACGTGCATGTACAGAGTAAGAGTGATCAGCTAGGTGTTTGAAAACTATGGTGGTTGACGTATTTTCGTATCCCACTTTTTTCGGGGTGACACCTTCTACTTTGCTGACAATTAGATTAAACCGACATTTTCCTATTTGAATTTGCTATTAAATGTAATAAACAGTATGCCTTACAATGCCACTCAGAATAACAAGAACAGGATGCAGCTACTAGGTGCGTCTTGGCAAAGGTAGGGGGAGGGGGACTTGAAATGCCCCCCCCCCCCCGCGCCTTGCCGTATCAGTCTTTCTATGTAAACTGTCTTCCTTATGATGTTTTATTTTAGTGTCAGGTTGGCAGAAGTTGATTGGTGGTAGCACATAAGATCACATAATCGTCCATGGGTCCGTCTAACCCCATGATTTGATACATTTTATCTCCATGGTTTGTTGTTTTGTTTCTTAACTCAAAGCATTTTGTTTTCTAACTCAAGGCATTTTGACTCACTTCACTGGGATTTTCTAAAAAAAAAAACTCTCGGTCTTTCAAGCAGCCAAGTGCTGTAGGCAATTGCTGGTCTCTCTTCGGTGCGGATTGAATTTTATTGCCGCCCGACTCAAGTAGGCTCCCCGGTAGGTTTTGCTCGACGGGAGTCTGCCGTGCAAAATATATGCGGAGGAAAACCACTACATCTCCGAAGAGAGAGCCCGCCTCTACTACGATGAACTGGACACCAGGGTATTTCTGGTCAAACCGGTTTATGCTGAACACAGACTAATTATGCAAGCACAGATAGAAGAATAGAACAAAAGACACTCTGCGGGAGTAAATTCTTGGACCACGTTTAAATTAACTAGCTATTTACCAGTAGTACAGGATGAGATCTTATCGGGGCCCATGGAGATTACCGATACAAAGATTTTTCTAAATTCAAAGCTGTTTAAGTTCCTATGCGGCGTCTTAGATACTATGAAGTTACATAGCGAGATTTGATTGTTTTCATTAAGGCATTTTGACTCACTGGGATTTTCTATAAAAAAAAACCAACAAACTCCCGGTCTTTCAAGCAGCCAAGTGCTGTAGACACGTGATTTTACCGCACATGCGACGTCAGCACCGGGTCAAAGTTCGTCTGAAGTCGGTATCGCCCCCCCCCCTCTCGTCAATTTGTGCAATGGTCAGCTTTTATTTCTGGTACGTTGATATACAATGTATCAGTAATCAAGGTTACAACCGCCGGCCAAACTAGTCATTGACCTTGGTGTGAAATGTGGAATAAAAGACCCACTGGGAGAAACAAACGAAACAAAAAGTGTTAAAGGTAAGTCCAGTGAATTGTGCATGCTGCTGTGTAAATCATGCCCACAGATGCAAGCTGTAAAAAGCAAGATGGCATCTCTGAAACGGAAGCTTGAGGAGGCCGAGGAACAGGCCAAAAGTGCAGAAGAAGAAAAGCAAGAAACCGAAAAGAAGGCAGACGAGGTAAAATTAAAGCACATCAAATCCATGATTGTATTCTAAGGTTAAATTCCACTGCGTACAATTATTACTAAAACGGTAATATTCGGACGCAAAAATAATACAGGTTGTTTACCTTGCTTATAGATAGCAAAATAATATCAAAATACTGCTCTGTTTGTTCTGATCATGCTACAAACATATTCGTGGTTAGTTGATTATGAACAAGTCTTAAGCACCTTGCAAGTAATAAATACGTAGTTAAGTCGAACTTCCGCTGACTCATTTATACACCATTCTACAAATTGTATTACCTTGACTGTAGTCTGTTCTTCTTTACTGTACTGTATTGTACTCTGCTATTCTCTAACTGTACTCCACTGTTCTCTACTCAAATCCGCGCTATACTATCCTCTACACTACTGTCCTCTACTCTACTCTCACTACTACTCTCCCCACTGTACCCTACCCTACCCTGCCCTTCCCTTCCCTTCCCAACCCTACTCTACCCTACCCTACCCTAGCCAACCCTAGCAAGCCCTACACAACCCTTCCCTTCCCTTCCCTTCCCTACCCAACCCTACTCTACCCTACCCTACCCTACCCTACCTTACCCTACCCTACCCTACCCTACCCTACCCCACTTTACCCTACCCTACCCTACCCTACCCTACCCTACC